AAAACAACAAAAAATGAGACAGAATGACACCAAACAAAAATGTTTGTAGAAGCTGTAAAATACTTTTTTTTCTTTTTGTAAAATAAATAAAGAAATGTTTCCTTCTTCCTATGGTGTCAGACTGTCCATATTTGGGCATGCTTCCTTCCCTCCACTCCATTCTGAGGGCGTCCACTTCCTGGACAAGTTCAGACGCATCCTGACATCTTTATTTCCAAAGCGTGTTGAACCACTTCTACCAAAACTTAGAACCACTAAACATCTTAAACAAATATCTCCAAACACCTGATCGGAACTCATCAGAACGCTTCCTGTGAACTCTTTTCCATTCATCACTGAATACTGAATGTGTTCTGGAAACACAGAGTACCCAGCCGTGGATTTTACTACAGAAATGAGCCCACAGTGAGGAAGAATTACACTGAACCAAAAAGAACCACCCCCTGCAAGCTGCAGGAGTTCAGGGGGTTCTGGTGTCCTGGTTCTGATCCAACAGTCGGAGCTGCAGCTGATCAGAGTCACTGGACAACAAACCCAGACGCTGCTGACACGTTTACAGAGTGTGTTCTGCTCAGAGTCACAGGACACAGAACCACGAAGGCGTTCTTAAACGTGTTCTCATGATGTTCTCCTCCAACATCTCTGTGACCTCCTCGTTAGGGGAAGCCGTGCAGCTGAGCTCGCTGTGAGATGTTTGGATAAGAAGACGTGAACACGGAGGCGCCGCTGCAGCTGTGAACACAGACGGAGGTTTTAATGGGCGGATTAAAGCTCAGGGGAGACGCTGGTTTACTGTCAGCACACAGCAGCAGCAGCAGAAACGCCGAGTCCAGAGCGGAGAGCAGCTGCTTCATTACCGCCAGCGGAAGCACTGCGACCTTCACGCCAGAACCTTCACCCAGCAGAACCTTTAAACCTGCATCTAATGAACCTCGTTAGCCGCTGCAGCAGGTAACAGACACAGAGGCAGCACAAACAGAACAGAAAAGCTTACGTGGTACCAAGACAGCATTTAGCAGCAGATCAGAACCGAGACAAAGAGGCAGAACTGTTTAACCGGTATGTATGGAGCAGTGAGAGTGCCAGATTACAGAAATAAATCAATAAAAGAGTAAGACAAGAAAAGAGGAAATAAAAAGAGGAATAAATAAAATAAAAAATAAATAATGTGGTGACATTAATCAAACATGAATCCATAAAAGAAAAGGTTCATGAAAGCAAAAATACAAAAACAAATAAAAATAAACATCCTTATTTTTTATGTTCTGTTTTTTGTTTGTTTTAATTTTATTTATTTATTTTAATTTTTAGAAGATTTTTTTTTCATTTTTATTTTAATTCTTTTTTCTGTGCACATTTCCTTTGCTTTTAAAGTGACATTATAAAAAATAAATACAAAAATACAAAAAGAAAGAAATAAAATAAATAAATAAATAAAAATAAATAAAAAATATTACTATTTTTATTATTTTATTGATTTGTCTTTATAGTTCTACGTTTATCAGCCTTTTCTTTTATGGATTCAGGTTTGATTAATATTGCCACATTATTTTTAATTTTATTTCTTCTTTTATTTCCCACTTTCATTTTATTATTCTTTTATTGATTTATTTCTGTATTTTGGCGCTCTCACTGCTCCATAGTTATGATGAGACACGAGCTAAACTATTTCCAACATGAAACATTTAAGAGCAAGAACAGAACAGTTTAAATTTTAAAGCCTCCCTTCGTCCTGTCTGTGGCGACCTCTGAATACATTCAAACTTTCCCGTCCTGTTCTGTCAGAGCTGCAGCTGCTCACCACACATAGGAAACAGAACAAGCTGCTCTTTGTCTTCTAGATGAATCATTTTGTCTAGAACATCTCAGAAAAGTCCAGTGTGGTGAAATCAAACAGCCAGAAGTCTTCAGACCAGCAGAATAACCCATTCTGCTAAAAACATCGACTTCGGTTGACATCTCACCAACTTCTGAGGCCTCCAACGCCAGCAGAGAACGTTTCTGAGCCTCATCACCAAAACCTGGAACACATCTACAGCAGCTGTATTTAGACTATTGTCTCAAAGAGCAACGTCTTCATCGGGGAAGGGTACCGGGCCGCGGTAACACTTGGTACCGGGCCGCGGTAACACTTGGTACCGGGCCGCGGTAACAATTGGTACCGGGCCGCGGTAACACTTGGTACCGCTAAGTAATTTAGCACCGTTAAGCTCCTTGACGAATGACATTAATTTTGCAATGTTGCGCTACGTTAGCTTCATGGCTAACAGGGTAAAGAGCTGCTCCCATCTGCTCACTCTCTGTCTCTCCGTGTAAACAACAGATGTGATTGGCTGTTACCGATGACGTGCAACAGCCAATCAGAGAGCACTGTGGGCGGAACGTGCAGAGAGAGAGCTGCTGCATGAGAGCCACGGGACAGAACTTCTATACTGAGGCCCCCTTTACACGTAGCAACAACGGTGATATCTCAGCGAGCCTTTGGTTTGAACGTTTACCGTCTACGTCTGCATGTAGATAGGAGGGGACGGAGTCTGACGTCACACGTGTGCGAGCTGACATGTTTACAGTCTGGCTACGTCCATATACGGGCTGACATGTTTACAGTCTGGATACGTCCACATACGTCCACAAACGGACTGACATGTTTACAGTCTGGATACGTCCATATGG